ATACCTTCGTAAATATTTGCGCCAATTACACCGTACACTCGGCCTTTATCGCTTCGCTTTATTTATTAACAATCCCAACAAACTGAACCGGCCCCGAAGCGAATTCTCGCGCAGTCAATAAAATTGAGAAACTAATCGGGATCCTTCGTTAATAAATAATTTCGTGGCAGTCGAATAGAACGGCGAAGAAAAGCGAGAAAATAATATTACGTTCGATCGTTCGACTCACGTACTTTTACCACTTTAATTGCAAAAGTTTTTGTTTGAAAGACGAGCTGGCTAAATTTGAATTATTCGCGCTACATTAATGTCAATTGCAACTAATTAGGAATCAGACTGAATGTAGAAAAATGTGAGAAATCACGAGGTATGGCACTCGGTAGTAGTTTTCAGCAACTGAAGTTGAAATAATAAAATCCTCGCGTATGTTCCTCTGTTTTAATCATACTTGGCGAAATAAATAGATGCAAATCGCGACACCTGTTGTCGTTGAATATTATTAGGCGGTCGAGACCGATTCGTCTTATGTTCGTCTCGACGCTCGTAAACAAACCAAGCGTGAAATACTAAATGACTGCCATTATAATATTCAACTAATGTTGCTAAATATTGAAACTGTTGTAATCTTCTGAGAATAATAATAATAATACACAAGCTGCGCAATAATAATCTCTGGCTCATTTTTATAACTCGAAGGCTCTACTCTCAAAGTGCATCGTTCATCTTATTCTGAGATGCTTCTAAACTACTATATGTATGTAGCATGTTTCTTTAAAATACTACAAATTGTCATACTACGTGAAAACATTGAAAATCTTTGTCGTGATTGAATCTATGGTGGATTTGAAGATTGAACTTTGACGACTCTTCAAAATTTACAGTATGATTTTTTTCTTTTTGTCTGTGAACTTGTTTACGTCACTTTTTTGTAAACTTATGAATTTATTTAACTTTGATTGACGTATTAGACGTGGACGATTTTTGTCGTCCAAACTTAACATTGAAAGTTCGATAAAATGATGAGAAGAATCGTTATCAGTCAAAAAAAAAAAAAAAAAATACTTTTCTTTTTTTACTCGCTACATGATACAAAAACATCTGTATTTTGGTGGCTTCGAGTAACTTTCAAAGTTAGCTTAGATTTATTGTCCTACAATTTTTTTTTACAAAATTGTAGCAGTTTCAATACTAATTAAGTTTTGAACATTAAGTAGAAGCCACTGTACATGCGCTAATGATACCAATACTAATAATAATTGGTACAGATATGTTATTATGACACAAATTATGACACAACCTCACGTACACTGTCCAATGAATTATTTACAGAAACGCAGAGAATCGTTAAATGTTACAACGGAAGATATTATCGCATCGTGGGCGTTCTTGCGCCGTTAAGTGTCTCACGGATGCATGCCGTGCCTTTTAATTACTAATTCACCGGTTATTGCCGGTAGTAATCGATAGGACGTCTGGAATAACAGCGGCAAACGTGAACAACCCCCGAAGGTGAACTCCGATAAATACCACCGACGAGGTGAACAGTCGGTTTATCGCGCGCGCAATAAAACGAGCAAGATCCACGCGTGTATCGTCGGAGAAATCCAAAACAGACAGAATTCTCGGCGATTAAAGCCGAGTACGTTGGTCACGATCTTGGTATTTTCCTATCCGTTGTTTTCCTTTGGTCGTCTGACCTCGTCGCCCCAGCGTGGAAAAGCACGAGCAGTAAATGACGGCAATTTATTCGAACAAACGTCGCCGAGTGAAATGGACCGATCGATCAGTACTGTGTCTGACTCGATTTCTTCGCGCTTCGCGAGATTTTCCAGAGATCGTCGTGATTTCGCGATGTTACTTCTAGCATTGAGCAACGATGTGTGACTTTCAAAATGTAGTTTGATCGTAAGTACGAGCCGACGAACAGGAAGGTCAGACGTGAAATTGGCTTGAACCCATTGCGCTGGCAACTGATTCGCGGACCATAACGAGTGACCGATAATACAATCGCTCGTCGCTTTCCTTTTCTTTTCAATTCTGTCGGCACGATATCACTGGATAGAAATTATTCAGAGGTAATAAACTTATCATTCGTTTTGCCTGGGTTAACATTTAAATATACTTGAAAACTGAGAGAGCGTTGCAATTTGGGAGAAATGATTCTCGACGTGCGTCATTTCGACGCAAGTAGTTAAAGAGATGCATTGAAAAATCAAATAGTCTATAGTGTTTGCTGACTAAAAGAACATACGGAAAGGGGGAAAGTACGGAGGTGGTTGATATGAGACATTTTTTTTTTTTTTTTTTTTTGAAAAATAAGAGACAGAGTTGATTGAGACGTAGAACAGTGTAGTTGTATGAGTCGTGACTGTTGTTCACTTAGTTAATTTATGTTCGTTACCCTATTCTGTCCGTTATTTATTTAATTACGTAATTGTATTATTGTATTAACACAATTATATTAATTATATTAATTCTATTATTATTAAATATATATATATATATATATTCCTTATATCCAATTTCTGTATTACATTCCAAGAAAATGATTTCAATTTTTGGAGAAACATGTTTGGAGCAAAGCAACTGCTGGAATTTTTGAAGCGAATTCTTGTCGAAAGGAATTACAATAGTTCCGTCGTATCTTGGCCGAAGATTATATACAAATCGTACGGGAAATGATTTATTTTCAGGCAGAAATTTCTATTCTCGCGCGCGAGACCATCGAGATCGATCATAGGATCCGACGACATGACACTAGGAAATTGAAATCTCAGTATGTTGGCACATTACGCGTAGGAGGATTGTAGGATCGTTGGCTTGCGTACAAAATAGCGGTGGTAAACAGCTATTAATAAACAAATAATAATGATAAGCTATTTTCATAGCAACACATTCGGCAGAAGTAGAAACGCTTCGAACCTAACTTCTCGTTCGTGTTACAAGTTTCTACGCTCCCTCGAATTTTGTGCTTTTCTCAGCTTCTCGACAATACGAGGCTCTTTTATACCCTACTCGGTGCAGCATTCTCGAAAAGTGCATGACGCGTGCGATGCACATTTCCTGGCCATTTGCAGCCAAATCTCTTTGCGTAGTTCCATGCATGCCAATTCTCATGTATATTCTACGAATCGCTGTACAACCTCAATCGATGTTCCAGACTAAACATTCGATGTCTTCCCGTTTCTCCCCTCGTTGTCCACATTCACGCACCACGAGCAGAAACAATTACGCCGATATTTATCCGAACAACGTCCACATACTACGTCGCGAACAATTTAACAACACTCACTCTGGCGAGTGAAAAATTTCGCCTTAAATTTCGGACAGCTTTCGCCTCGCGACATTCACGTCGTTTGTGTTTAGCTCTTTCATCTCGGCTCGATTGTTGAACAATTCTTGCAACACGAAAATTGCACGAGATCGTTTCGCACTTCGTGGAACGACAACGCTTCGTCATCGCTGTCGCATTCTACGCCACCGTCAACTAAGAAGCATTGTTCCCTCGAAGTTGGATGCCGGTACAACAGCTCCAACGATCGATCGATCATTATCCCGTTGTTATTCACGCGCACGAAAATTATTTCGCCGATGTTAATTGAACAAATACGAAGAGGAGCTCGCGGTAAATGCGAAAAGTAACGCGCACGCCAGTTGTATTGGTCGTTAATATGTTATATTCGTTAACGTGTTATTAGGCAAGTTCACCGGTCGTTTAAAATTCATTAGCGTTATTGTTGATCTTTCATTATTGCCGGAACGCGGATTTGCGAGCTGCAATCTGCGAAAACGTATTAAATGCCCAATGTGGAATATATCGCGAATGAAGCAAATTTCTTCGGTGAAAGTAGCGTAAAACTGTAAAATGAAATTCACACTAACGGCCCTACCAGGAAATCAATTTGATTCGAGCATTCCTTTCACACTAGAACTACCAAAGTGGTCAAAGTGATCAATTTGCAATTGGAGATTTTATATATTTATAACGGTATATTTTATATTTATAACAGTATATTGGATATTCGATTGGAAATTTTATATATTTATAACAGCATTTTTTTATATATTTATAACAGTAACTATAAATTTATTTATATTATATAATAAAAATATTTTTAAATTATAATTTTAACATTAATTAATTATTGAAAAAATTTTATAATTTATTATTTATATTTAAAAATTAATTTAAATATATAATATTATATATATAATTATTAAAAGAAAAATTTTTATAATAATATAAAATTATGATATAATGATTAAATTAGTAATATAATTTTATATATATTTTTAGATATTCGACTGACTTTTAAGAAAATATATTAGCATCGTAGCAAATATATTAGTAATTAAATAATTTTTAATAAAATATATTAGCATTACAGCAAATATATTAGTAATTATATTAAAAATATATTAATAGAAGCTATTAACTTTTCCTTGTATCTTTAATTTCTTTGCTGCAAATGTTATACTTTAGTCGTCGATCGTTTTTAGCGTTAAATGAAAATTTAACTTTCTAACTTCTCCATCTTTTCAATTTGCCTTCTTGTCACGTTCTTTGGAAGCTCGTGTTGAAGTTTAGGCCGCCTCCAAAAAAGTCAGAAGCTCTTTTCACGTGTCGCACGTGGAATATCCGACTAGGTCAAAAAAAAAAAAAAAAAAAATCGTAAATTAATCGTAACTGCGATCGTGTCAATCATACAGTCTCGTTTCGGTATGTTGGTGAAATTTCTAAACGTAACGGAGAGAGAATTTTAAGAGAATTTGATTGACATGAGACTTCAGAGGATTTCGAAAGAAAGAAAGAAGAGAGAGAGGACGGCGCTCATAGATGGACACTGGCGGCAAGCTACGTGACGGTCAGAAAAAGAGAGAATCGGTGAAAAAGAGTGGCACGCCGCGAGAGAGAAAGACTGCGAGAGACGTCGCGGGCGTGAGGGGGAGAGGTCCGGCGCCGCGGCACGTCGCGACGCTCAGTCTACCGGCGTCGTCCGTGCAACGTGAACGCTCCGAGCCGCTACTTTGCCGGCTAAAGCCGCGTGCAAACGCGACTCTCGCTCGTCCTCCCCACTGGAATCCCCCCTCCCCCCGAAAATTCCCCACTCGCCGTCATTTTCGCGCTCAAAGTGACTCCTCCGACCCTTTCGTCCTCAGTATTCGGTCGAGTGTCTACCCTGCGAAATCGCGGCGTTTTTGTAGTTTGAGATTCTCAAGCCTCAATGTGTTTTGGCCCCTCCTTGGGGAGGGGAGAAGGGGGGAGGCGACTTGGTGTGAACTTGTGCTCGCGATACAATTTTTATTCCGCGTGTGCTTTTCTTTTTTTTTTTTTTTAATCTGAGCAGGAATAATTGCGATCTGGTGGAGAATTAGGGCCTCGAAGGTATTTTCACCGCGCTGAAAAAAGAAGTTTCTTTCCCGTTCCTTGAGAAACGATTGCCAGCGATTTTTTCGAGGAACCTTCTCACGGCGAGTCGACTCGAACGCGACAGGATTTACCGACAGCGATTGACAGGATTTACCGCCGCTCGCAATGAAAATATGATCCCAGTGTCGAACTCGGTACGTTGAGATTGGCAACGGTGACATGGGACAGTGATGTCCGCGGTTTCGAGCTCGGAGGGACGATGGTTTTTTTTTTTTGAATATCGCAGGGAATTTGAAGATGAGACGTTGCCAGAAGTGGAGGGACACCGCCTCTTGAGGGGGTGGATTCTCTTTCACGCGGAGAAAAAGCCAAGCATTCTCGCAATGAGGAGTTCATGAAAAATGGACGAAGCGGTAAAAGCTTTGGTTTTCGAGCTCTTACGTTTACTTTCTTCTCTTCTCTCTCTCTCTCTCTTCTCTCTCTCTCCCTCTCTTTTTCTTCTCGACATCGATTCATCGTCCGAGCAGCTTGCATTAAAAATTCGTGTGGAACGTTGCCGGACAATCGTTCGATATCGCTCGTAAATCTACCGGCTATTCTTGACTCGTCAATCAATTCTTTCTTTCCTTCTTTCTCTTCAATCCGTGAACGCGAGACCCTATAGCTAATAGTCGACGACTATTTTCGATCGGTTTTTCTTTATTTGGAAATTCCTCCCCCCCCCCCCCCTTCAAGTCGCGTACTATTTCAGTCTGCGAAGAATGACATCCACGCTGTTTTCACTCTAGTTTTCGCAAATTCGGACCGTGAGACAAGAAATTTGTTATTGTTGGAACGTTGATCGTTTCTTGAACACCGAATGCCGGACCACTTCTTCTTTCGTCTTTTACCTAGTGAGATTTCATGAAAATTTCGCCATTCGTTCGCACACTCATCTGCCAACGATACAACGTGTCAAACTTCCTTGTTTTCTTTATTTTTTCATTTTTTTTGTTTCTGAGGTCATTATACGCAAGCAGAAGATCGATTCACTGTCGAAACTCGTTTTACTCGGAGTACAAATGAACTGTAATCTCGTGATTCTCGAAACAACGTCCCTCGAGATCATTTTTAAACTTGCTGCAGTCGATGACAGGGGAAACACTTAGGTTCCATAATTGTAAACCGCGTAAGTGACTAGCTTATTTCGATAAACGAAGCGCAACGTGTGTTTTTAATTCGCGACGTTTAATTTTTAATCACACACGCGTATGCAGAGTGTTATCTTTTCAGTTAAAAAAAAAAAAAAAAAACAAAGAAAGAAGAATAAAAGAAGAACGAAATTTTCATAATTTCCGGGGTCGTTGGCAAAAATTCGCTTCAAAGTTGGAACGAAAATTGGAAACTTTCTCGGTTTTATCGCCGCTCGGAAATATTGTTGCCAGTTTTATTACCTATCGCGAGACGTAGCGTTGCGCGAAAGCGTCTTGAGGAAACGCGATGAGAGATGCTGCCGTTCGAGCAGACAGAAACTGTAACAAACGTTATAAAGAAAAACAGAGACCGACCGATCCTCCTCCCCTATGTGAACACACAGAGAATGCAATATCCCGCTGCGTCGAGGAAACACCACGGCTCCGTATCTTTCACCCTACATGAGCTTCTAAAATCCGCGTGGCGTGAGTTTCGTAGGACAATGTGGTTGCTACTGTTTCGCTAAAAAGAAAGAGAGAAAAAAAGTTTCGTTGAATATGTAGCTGCTACTGTTTCGCTAAAAAGAAAAAAAAAAAAAAGAATGGAGGAATTCATTAAACTGCATCCTATGTTAGAATTGAACTGTACCCTATCCTACTCTAACTGAAAGAATTTGCTTTAGTAAATTACGAAAGGAGGAAAGTAATATTATATGTTACTTTACTAATATTATTAGTTCTATAATTAGAATTTAATTCTATATAGAATTTATTATGTAATTTAAATATTTTTATATTACTTTTTTTCATTTTATTTACATATATCTTATCCTATCCTAACTCGAATTTACTTTAGTAAATTACGAAAAGAGGAGAGTAATATTATACGTTACCTTACTAATATTATTAGTTCTATAATTAGAATTTAATTCTATATAGAATTTATTATATAATTTAATTTACATATTTTTATATTTTTTTTACATTTTATTTACATATTTTTGTAATTTAATTTGCTATCCTAACTAGGATTTACGTTAATAAATTACGAAAAGAGGAGAGTAATATTATATGTTACTTTACTAATATTATTAGTTCTATAATTATAATTAGAATTATAATTATTTAATTCTATATAGAATTTATTATATAATTTGTTATATTAATTCTATATAGAATTATATTTTTATTTTTTACATTTTATTTACATACATCTTATCCTATCCTAACTAGAATTTACTTTAGTAAATTACGAAAGAAGGGAAGTAATATTATACATTACTTTACTAATATTATTAGTTCTATAATTAGAATTTAATTCTATATAGAATTTATTATATAATTTAATTTACATATTTTTATATTTTTTTTACATTTTATTTACATATTTTTGTAATTTAATTTGCTATTTTAATTAGGATTTATGTTAATAAATTATGAAAAGAGGAGAATAATATTATATGTTACTTTACTAATATTATTAGTTCTATAATTAGAATTTAATTCTATATAGAATTTAAATATGTTTATTTTTTTTTACATTTTATTTACATACATCTTGTCCTATCCTAACTAGAATTTACTTTAGTAAATTACGAAAGAAGGGAAGTAATATTATATGTTACTTTATATTATTACTTCTATAATGAGAATTTAATTCTATATAGAATTTATTATATAATTTAATTTACATATTTTTATACTTTTTTACATTTCATTTACATATTTTTATAATTTAATTTGCATATACCCTATCCTATCCTAACTAGAATATATATTTTACTATATTTTATTATTTTATGCAGATTTTTCCTCTTTATCTTTCATGTCAGCTGTAGCTAGAAAGAGTTTCGTATATGTACAGTGGTTCCACGATTAGATTTTGCGCGGAATTACATCTGGTTCGTTGAATTGTATTTGTACATAAATTGACGCCGTAACTGGAATATTACAGACATTTTCAAACCCGATACTGCAACGTATCATATTTTCACGCGATATCGCCAATGTATTATTTTAATGTCCTAAGTTTCAAATCCTATACACACAATCCGATGAAATCGCGCAATCGAAAAGCGTCCATTATAATTTATAGCTCAATTAGAAAAAGGAAGCAAAGGGGGGAATATCTTTCAAATCTTTAAAAACTCACCCACTTCCCGAAGACGGACACACACGCGCGAACGTTTACTATAATTCTGCTTAATAAAATTTGTTTCCCGTTATCTGGCATCGCGTGACAGGCGTGGTCTGTCCAACCTACGCGTGGGACACTCGATTTCAAAATAAGATACTGTCTCCACGTGCCAACTTGCGTACGTTTCTCTCTCTCTCTCTCTCTCTCTCTCTCTCTCGCGTTCGAGGCGCACGCGTTTCCAGTCGCCGAGCATAAATCATGTCTAACGATTGCGCGAACGACTCTTTATTTCCCCGTTAAATAAAGTTCTCAAAGGTTCTTCGTTTGATCGTGAACGGGGACATACCTGTGCAATATGTACAGGGTGGAAAGAAAAATTCTGTCATAGATGAATTCTGACGTCTTCGATTTGATGGATCCTTGACTTTGAATTTCAAGATTAAAATTATTTCTTGCGTTGTGTTCTATTTATCAGGAAGGTAAAATTTTCCTAGATCGCAACTTAATGGTTCTCTTGAGAAGTTTCTTAATCGTGTTTAGCACTGCGAACGCGTGCGTCCTAACAGCGCCTTTATGCTTCTGCACGCGTGAATTTTACGTAATTTTCGTATTAGGTTTCACTAACATTTGATTTATCATAGTTGTAGCATCAGCGTGAGTCTAAATAATCAAATGATAAAACTAAAACTGTTAACATTATTCGAAACACGCGTTCAGAACTTAAAGTCGCTGTTAGAACGCGCGCGCCCGCAGTGTTAAATGATCAAGAAACTTTTCTGCCATTTTTCAAAAGAACTGTCAGGTCCCTTGGAAAAGTTCTACCTCCGTGACGAGTAGAATACAATCCAAACAAGGAGAAAAATTTTTGACTTTGAAATTCAGAGTCTTTACGTGCATTTCCATCAAATCGAAGACTTTTCTTTCCATCCTGTATGTGCACGTATAGTTTGCCAGAGCGCGTGATTCATTGAGGGAACCCGACGGGTGACGGGCACGCGTACGTAAGAGACTTTATCGAGAAAATAGATCGCTGCCGCTCGATGGTTAACCTTTTTTATTGGCGAACCGACTCGCGTTCGTTCCGCGAGTGCGTTTCATCAACGGCGAACGCTCGCACCGGAATCGCCTTGGGAATCGTTGGCGTGCAATTCGAGGCTTCCGGGCGTAAATCGTCTTATTAGAAATTCTTATGGGTGACACGTCGCCGATGATATTCCAGGCTTATTATTTATTAATTATTAATTGTCATATATTAATTTATTAATAATTTATTAAATTATTATTTCGATCAGATTTCCGTTGGGTACACTATCCTTAACTTGCGATTTTGTCATTTATCTTTCGTAGCAAGATGATTAGAAACAAATATAGCAAGCAGAATGAATTTTCGAATCAAGGATTAAATATTATTAAGGATAGTATCTCCGAGTAAGAAACGATTCAGTCAGTCGATTATTAGAAATTAGATATTAGTCAAATTAGAAATTAGATTGTTAGATATTAGAAACAAATAAAGCAACGCTGAACAATGATCTCTATATTTGTGACATATCATCTTCTGTCTTATTCGCACCTGTCAATAAGTATGATTGACGAAATGATTTCGTTGGTGACAAATTCACGACGATTCTCAATTTTAAATAAAAATTCAATCGAAATTAATATCGTAAAAGTAGAGAAATATAAAGAATTTTCGGGAGTTGTCAGAATTGTCAGAAATTTTTGGGATTCTTTTTATAATCTTTTGATTATAATTGCAATTGGGATTTCTTAGCTATAATTGCAAAATTATAAAGTACAGGATACGGTATAAAAGTTGAAAGAAAGTTATGAGGATAAAACTGTATAAATATTCCATATATAAAATATAAACTACAATAATAAATAATTATAAATAATATAAATATAACAATAAATAAACTATACAAAACTATATAAATATTTCGAATTTTCGCGTAGAGAAGCCAGTTTTTTCAATCTACCCTCTGACATTTTCTCACCTTTGATCGCAAATAATCTCGCACAGATCGCCGTTCGTCGATCACGCGCTTTCAAAACAATTTGGAGAACATCACCGTGTAATTTTTTTTTTTTAATCGAACAC